TATATATATATATATAGTATATATATAGAAAGATTATATTGAAACTCTGTATAACTCTTTTTTGTTGTACAGTAGGAGCCCTGGGTGCTCTCTTTGTAAGCCTTTAGAGTGAATTGAAGTCTCACAGATATTTTTATGCTCTTTTCCCCTTTAATTCCTTTTTTTAATGTAACTGTTATTTGGCGAATGTTTTCAGAGCTGGGGAGGTGGGATCCTGTTTTTATACTGAGCTGTCTTTTTCTTATGAATGTCAGGCAGTCTTCGGCATTGCAGTATCTCATGTCTGAGTCTCTTAAATCCAAGTGCAGACCAAGGAAGGCAAGAAGGCGTTGGTCATGGGGGCACATACTGACAAAGGAGCTAACACTCTTGTCTAGGTTTGCCAACTCTGGGTGGGGAAACATGTGGAGATTTTGTTCGTAGAGCCTGGGGAGGGACTTCAGCAGGGTTCAGTGCCATAGAGTCCACCCTCCAAAACAGCCATTTTCTCCAGGGCCTCTATTGCCTGGAGATCAGTTGTAATAGTGGGAGATCTCCAGGCCCCACCTGGAGGTTGGCAACCCTATTATTGTTCTTCTCTTACCAACTGATACCTTAAACCTGACTGAAGAATATAATGGGAGCCTGCTGGGTCAGACTGAGGGTCCATCTAGTCCAGTATCCTGTTTCCAAGAATGGCCAGCCAGATGCCTTAAGTGTCTTTCCTGTCAAATTCCCATTTCTCCATCTTCCCACTGCTTTGCCTTAGCCCTCCATCCAGGGCTGCGTGTGCACTGTGCTTTTTTTTTTAAAGTCAAAATTCTTGGTCAAAAATGGAATTTTCTGGCAGGTGTGCATTATGTAAATTAAGCATGTTTGTATATGAAAGACTAAGGATTGCTGATCCAACCAAGCTCCATTTAGTCCAACAACAGTGATTTGAATCTAAAGAACGGGGTGTTTGTTCTTTAGATGTTTGTTCAAGTGTCTGTTCACTAGCGGTATACTGCCTCTGACTGGTGATTCCATTTAGTTGCCACTGCTGGTAGCTATGGGCAGACCTATCCTCCAGGAAAACAGGCTGTATTAGCTTACATCAATTATTCTGCTTCTCTCGGTCATGACACTATGTGCCTGGGCCAACCGTACGATGACTGGAAAACTTATCAAAACCCACTCCAGTCACTCAATTTATTAAAATATCAAAGCCAAGGTTCCTGTGATCGGGCCCATAACTGTGGGGTGGTCTATGAGTACCTACCCCCCTCCCAGACCTTCCATTGTCCAAATTAATACCTCCTCCCCAGTTTTAGATACAACTTGCTCCACCGCTTATCTGGAAATACTTGGCACCACCCTCATTTATGCCTCGGGCTGAGCTGTGGTGTGGAAGATGGGCAGTATGCCTCCAGAAGGCTAGTAGGTTGTTTGGACTAAAAGCCTGCATCTGTGTTGTATTGAGCCTAGTTGCCTTTAGCGAGTGTGAGAAGAGGGGAGGTGATGTGCTTTCAAAGCAAGCTCTTCAGTCAAGCTCCCACCTAGCCTCCGCCTTGTGAGATGCAGCTTGCCTCTCCTCCCTTTCTCAGTTCCACTCAGCCCCTGCCCAACCCAAAGTTCCTGGCTATGGTCCTCCTTGGGATGCTAAAGGTTGTACTCAGTACTAAATTCTGCATGCTTCACACAGACTCCTGGAGTACACATAGCCTAGGGTGTGTCCTAGGACCATCGATGAATGTACCTGATTAAACATGGACCCCTTTCCATTCTTCCTGGTTCATTCTCTACCTGCCATTCTGTGAGAGGGCTAGCCGCCAGTTGAGTTAGAAAGCATTCTCGTGAGAGAGGTCCCTGTCTTGTAAGTCCCAGGGAAAAGTCTCCTTTTTTGCTGGAAATAGCCAGTGCCACTATCCCAAGGCCATTACAAAAAGAAACAGATGTAGCTTTCCCTTGGTTTTATATAAATACTGTGATGAAACAATACCTAAAACAGTGTAAGGGTGGAGGCTTTTTGTCTGAGACTTGAGGTTTGTTGGCCTTTGTTCATAACTGAGGAATTTAATACTGAGATTTCAGTTAATCCTGAAAATAGCTGTATCATAAGAAAAGGAGGTGAGTTTAGAGAGGCCTTGGTAGCTATTGGCACATGTTCATCTTGACTTTGTATTGTTTTTATTGGATTCTTTCTGCCTTTCCTGGCTACTAGCAATACCTCCTATAAAAGATCCAATCAGTATAGTAGCCTTCTGAATGAAGAAATGTACATGGAATGTCTTTATCTCTGTGGGAAATTGTAAACTTATTCTTCTTTCTTAAAAAAGAAAAGAAAAAAAAAGATTTCTTACCTAATATGCCGTTTGAACAAAAGAATTGTGTATCGTGTCATATTTTTTGTCTCAGTCAGCAATTACTTTTGAAAATAATCTGCAACATCATGGCCACAAAGCCATCTATTAGATTTCAATCCAAGTATTATACATCCTATCTTTTGTCTCTGTAATCTCTGCAATGGCTTTGGTTTACCTGGTGAACCTGGTGAACTTCCATGGCCAAGTGGGGATTTAAACTTGGGTCTTCACACACACGTTCCAGTCCTAGCTCAGCACTCTGACCACTCTACACTGGACTGTCTCTCTGCTGTGATTTCCTGTTGGGCCAGAAAGACTGATGAATGATTCCATCCATATTGCACTAACTGCATGGTTTGGGTTTTGTTTTTGTTTTGTTTTTACAAAGAAGGCATATTCCACCATGTAACATTGTCCTTGTTTTTATCTATTTGACCTTGCAATGGGAACTTCCAAATTTTCAGTCTGGTTTCTAGTATAATTTACATCCCAGCAGCAGCACAAGCTTTAGATAATAGAAAGACATGACTTTCCCTCCAGAGGGGTTATTTATCTCTACTGTAGCCCAGGTTGACACCAGCAAACCCATTACAAAACAAATTGAAATTGCATTATACCAACATGAGCTCAGGAAGCTACCAATCCTGCATCAAGCCTCTGGGCTTAAAGACTATTTGTCATGTCTTTGGCTACTCTTAAGTATCCCTTTTGCAGACACCACAAGAGGAGAGCATAAAAAAGACGGAGAAAGTCTCTTGTCAGGAAGTAGCAATGAATCCTTTTATGCAATCATATAATGAGCTGGGGAATGTATTTATTTTATTTATTTATTTGATTATTTGATTTTTATCCCGCCCTCCCGCCGAAGCGGCTCAGGGTGGCTTACAACAGTAAAACCAATAAAACACATCTAAAACAATCTGTAACAATACAATAAAATCGCAAATTACACACAGTACAACATACACGTGGCGGCAACCATAAAGTGCTGTCATGCTTGGTCTAGGTTGTTAAATGCTTGGCGGAATAACTCCGTCTTCACCGCTCTCCGGAACTGGCGGAGATCCCGGAGAGCGCGGATCTCATGTGGGAGCTGGTTCCACAGTGTTGGTGTGGCTAAATAGAATGCCCTAGTTCTAGTAGTTATTAGCTTGGCATCCCTAGGGCCAGGGGGGACTAAGCGGTCCTGCGACTCCGATCTCAGTGCTCTCAGGGGAACGTACGGGGAAAGGCGGTCCCGCAGGTAGACAGGCCCCAGACCATAAAGGGCTTTAAAGGTCATAACCAGCACCTTGAAGCGTATCCAGAACGCTATTGGCAGCCAGTGCAGTGCCCTCAGCACCAGTTGGATGTGTTCCCTCATAGGGGCACCCATCAACAACCTAGCTGCGGCATTCTGCACCAGCTGCAGCTTCCGAAGTTGCCCCAAGGGCAGCCCCATGTAGAGAGCATTGCAGTAATCCAACCTCAAGGTGACCATCGCGTGGATCACTGACACCAGATCATTGCGTTCGAGGAAGGGGACCAACTGCCTAATCAGCCGTAGATGGTAGAAGGCTGCCTTGGCAGTGGCTGCTACCTGGGCCTTGATGGTCAAGGAGGCATCCAGGAGCACTCCCAGGCTCCTGACCCTCGGAGCTGGGACCCCTACCCCCGTACCGCTCCGATTCAGGCACAGGACCTCCGTCTTCGTCGGATTTAGTTTCAGTCGACTCCGTCTAAGCCAGTCCGCTACGTCCCGCAACGCCCGGTCCAGATCTTCCAGGTTAGAGCCAGACTGGCTGCCCAACAGCAGATAGAGCTGGGTGTCATCAGCATATTGGTGACAACCCAGCCCATGCCTCTGGGCAATCTGGGCAAGGGGGCGCATATAGATGTTAAACAACATCGGCGAGAGCACAGCTCCCTGGGGCACTCCACACTCCAGTGGGTGCCTCTGGGATGTCCTCTCACCGAGCGCCACCCTTTGTCTCCGACCTTGGAGGAAAGAGACAAGCCACTGCAAGGCAAGCCCCTGAATCCCCACGTCGGCGAGGCGGTGGGCGAGCAAATGGTGATCGACCATGTCGAATGCAGCCGACAGGTCCAGCAACAGAAGCGCCGCTGTCCCGCCCCGATCCAGGTGCCTACAGAGGTCATCTGTGAGGGCCACCAGTACTGTCTCAGTCCCGTGGCCCAGGCGGAAGCCGGACTGAAACGGATCCAGCATGGAGGTGTCATCCAGAAAGGCCTAAAGCTGTGCCGCCACCGCCCTCTCTATTACTTTGCCTAAATAAGGCAAATTGGACACCGGCCGGTAGTTGGTCAAATCGGTCGGATCTATCGCTTCCTTGAGAGCCTCCGGGAATAGACCCTCCAAGAGGGATCTGTTCACAATATCCCGGAGTGAACCTCGCAGCCCCTCTCGGCCAGCTTTAATCAGCCAAGAGGGGCACGGGTCAAGGCTGCTATGATGAACTGATAGCTGTAATATTGGGTCAGTAATTGCTTCCATCTACTTCAGCACAGTAGTAAACACATCTCATCATATTTATGTTGATTTCCCCCATGCAATACCTACCTGAAAGAGTAATTCTGT